TGAAAAAGTGACAACAAACAATACCAAGGATGAAAAAAATGTACAGAACACTAAATACAGAAATTAGAACCAATGTAGCCAGATTAAGGAGGAATATCTCAAAAGTGAATGGAAATAGAAAGGATGAGCATCATAAATAAAGCCAGTACGTACAAAAAAATTAAAAGAATAAAGGATGTACTCAGAATAAAGGATGTACTCAGGTTGTATAAAAACAAAGGAATACTCAAAAGTTGGATTGAATACATTACAGAACTATTTCACAATGAGAGAGAGACATGTAATACACAAAAATATTGAAGGACTGGAAATTTAATATTTCTAGTCCTTCAATATTTTTGAAGTCTGAAGTCAGATCAACACTAGATAAGATAAAAAAAGGACAAAGTAGCAAGACCAGGTGGGATTGTAATAGAAATACTCTCAGCCTTAGATAATTTGCTCAGTGACAAGACCACAGAAATAAAAAATGAAATATATGACAGTGGCAACTTACTGAAATACAGGGGCAAATGAATGTGAGTTCCATCAGACAATCAGTTTAATGTGTCACATATCAAACTAATAATCTGAATTCTGATGAATAGAGTACAAAGCAGAATTTTACCAGAAATAGGACAAGAATAGTGTAGTTTTGTCAAAGATTCTGGAATGAGAAATGCTATATTTATGATCAGAATGATATTGATGAGAACAAGCAAATGCAGAAGAATGTACATATGTTTTATAGATTGCACAAATGCACTTGATAAGTTGTAGCATAAAAATCTTCTATTTTAATTGTTAGGAAAACTAGATCTATTTGGATTTTAGAATAATCCAGAACAAACTGCTTGCATGTAGATATAAAATGAATTGAGAAGGTATACAAAAATAGAAAGAGGTCTAAGACAAGGACATATCTTCTCACCAAATTTATTCAACCTCTACAGTGAGGGAGCTGAAGACATTAATAGGATTTATTATTGGTGGGCACAGGACCTCTAAGACAAGGTAGTAAAGAAAAGTGAGAAGAAAGGATTAATCATCAACTTTAAGAAAACAGAATGTATAGCTGTCAACAAGAGAAAAAAACACATATGAACAACAAACTGAAGATGTTAACATCAAACAAGTATAGAATTTAAATATCTAGGACATTTTTTAACAGAGGATCAAAAATGCAACATTGAAATCTGAATATGCATTGGAATAGCAAGTAGCATTCCAAAAGCTAAGCAAAGTAATAATAAAAACAGGAATATTTAATTAGGAACAAACAAAAGAGTACTGAACAATTAATACCAATACTCTTGTATGGCAGTGAATGCTGGAAAATCTACTTACAGATGAAGAGAAAACTGAAGGCAATAAAAATGTGGTTCTACAGATAATATTGAGAATACCCTGGATTGAGTGCATAAACAATGAAGAAGACTTAAGAAAATATAAACAAAAAGAGACACTCGGAATAACATTTCTTGGACACAATTAGGAAAGTGGCCTTGGAGAATTTTTTACCCACAGGACATATTGAAAAGAAAATGGATGGGGGAAGGCAGTAGGCTATCAACCTGATGAGCTTCTTTGAATAAATGGGGGTGGGGGAGCAGGCAGCTTGCCAAAGGAACAAATAGAAACTTAAGAGATACAATGGATAGCAGGTTGTAGAGAGCCAGGATCACCCACATCCTGAAGGGACATGAAACTTAGAAGAAAATAAAGCCAAAGTTGAAGAAATGTGGCTAATAGTGAAAACAGAAGAATAATTCTGCTAGCCAATTTACTCTCAGATTCAGAGAGTTTAGAATTTAGTACTGTTCTATAAGAGATATCTTAAATAAATTAATAAAGTGTACATTTGCAAAGTTTAGATAAATACAAGGATGAAGAGAAAAGTGCCTAATAATGAAAATAGAAGAGTATTTTCTTTGAATTATATAATGATTGAGAGACCTTTTAATCATTCTTTACATAGACATGTAAGAAATGGAACTGCATACACAAGGAAATATATGGGGAAAATGTTTGCTTTATTTGCTTACGTTAAACCTGTTTATGATGAAGGTATTTTTTTACTAATGTAAAACAACTCACAATTGGAGTACTTCATTTCATAAATGACTTTATCAGAGGTAATTATGACTTGGATATTTTATTGAGAAAATATCTCATTGTCTTTAGTTTCTAACTAGATGATCCTTTTTCTTGCATGTTTATGGCACACAAAAATAGATCTTAACTGCATTGTCATGAATTTAGATTATTTTCACTTGGACTATTGTCCTCATCTTTGTTATTATCATGTTTTGGCCATTGTGCTCTCTGGCCTTTTTCAGATCCTTGTAGATTTGATTAACCTTCAAACTGAATCTCTTTAATCTACATGGCTAGACTGCTCTCATTCTGATGTCCATGTTGAGAGATAATAGCCTAGTGGATTAAAGTGTTGGTTCAGTAATTTGGTAATATAGTAATTGTCAGTTCAGTCCCTGGGCTGGATAGTGTAGTCGAAACAGGATGAGCAATAACTGAGTAGTACTAATTAAAGAAAGACAAGATATCCCTAGACATTTACAGCAGAACAAATCTATCTCTGTTCAGTTCAAAATTCCCTGAATATTGACAAGCACCTGAAAAGGCTAGGGACCACAATGGCCAAAACATTGTGATAACAACAAAGATGAAGACAATAGTCCAAGTGTAAATAATAATTCTTCATGCCAAAACTTCAGACAGAAATTGTAAGTTTGATATAAATTTGTTGCATCACAAAAATGAATCCTTAACTGTTAATAGTCAGTGGGTGCAGCAATTTTTAAATCCTCTCTATATGGTAGAGGCAGTAACTTAATTATTTGTGAGTGTTTTTGCCTATTCATACACCTTCCCTATTTATGCTGCCTTTGAATATTATGGTTTTCTAATTTGCTTACATTTTGTAAATTGTTTCATATAACTTTTACTTTAGAGATGATAGGGTTAGGTATTACTTTAATTTTTGATTCCTCATTAAATATTTTGTTCATAAACTTCAGTTAGTATGAAACTTTAAATTTAAAATCATGATAATATTTTAAGTATTAATTTTTAAAATGTTATTACAAATTTGTGGGATAGTATTTACATATCTTAATCTATGCATGGTTGTTAGCAAATGAACAGTCCAATGTGCAAATTACAAATTGGATATATCAAAATCAAATATGTACAATAATTTAAATATCTCAGAAATGTTTTAACAGAGGATGGGAAGTGTGACAATGAAATCCAAAGACACATTGGATTACAAAAGATGCTTTTCAGAAGTTAAGCAAAGCATTAAAAAACAGGAAAATTTCTTAAAAATAAAGAAAAGAGTATTGAAATGTTATGTAATATCACTCTTTCTATATGGCAGTAAATGCTGTACAGTCTCCTGATGGATGAACAAGGGACTTTAATCCACAAAAATGTGGTTCTGCAGCAGATGCTGAGATTACCATGAACCAAGCAACAACGAAATTTTAGAGAAAATGAAAACAAAAAGGACCCTTGTATTTAATATCAGAAAGAGATAGCTGAAATTTCTAGGGTACATAATAAGGAAAGAGGGCTTGGAGAATTTGGTGCTCACAGGACAGATTGAAGACAAGAGGAAAACAACACATAACCTAATTAGCAAGCTTGAATAAATGGATGGCAGAACAGGGTTTAGGAGAGATAACAAAAAGACAAAATTTATTAAAAGCCATAAAGGACAGGAAATTCTGGAGTGCCATGATAGCCCATGTCTTGATAGCACATAGAATAAGAAAAATCCTGTTTATTATTTAATCATATGAATAATATATTTGGACAGTTAAAATCTTTCCAGTTTAGAAGCAAATTCATTTCTTGTAATTAGTTTTATACAGTGAATTTGTTTATATTTAAAATTTTATCTGTAATTACTATATACTCTTTTTTCAGGAAGATTATCCTAATAAGTCAATATTAATTAAAGTAAAATTTTTTAATACATTAATATTAAATGATATTTGTTGCTAAACCCTGAAGTCATTGACAATTATACAAGATCTAAGTTAAAAGTTCATAAAAATTCATTGTTCTGAAATTTTTTTTTTATTCATTGCATATTTTCACCAAATATTTCAAAAGAAAATGTTTTTTGTAGTTCTAGTCAATTATTTTGCTATGTTAATATGAATGCTACAATAATTTGCCATACTATCAAAACTCATCAAACTAAGTTCTTTATATAATGTTTAGGATGTTTTATGCTCTAATTTTATTTGTTTTTTATTGTTCTTCAATAACTTGTTTTAATGTATTTTCCAAATATAAGGAAATGAAATAATGTCCCCCGTGTGAATACTTTTCATAAATCCAGATATTACTTTAACTCATTCCAAAATATTTGTATAAACCATTTATTTTAAAATCTCTCTATTGATTATAATTTGTAAAAACTTAAGTTTAAAGGCTACAGTTTTATTTTTTAAATAAGAGTAGTTTGTTTAGCATTGATAACTGATACAAAACCATATTTCTCACTCATTTTAATACTGTCATATTATTTACAATGATCTTCATTTTTTCTGAAAGTAATTAATATCACTTTAAATTAACTTGATTTACTTCAGATTTCAATATGTTTAGAATAAATTAATTTTAATAATTTCTAACTTTTTAAAATACTTATTTGAAATAAGAAAGACAAATCTTATAGTCAAAAGAAATATCCTTCCTTTTTTAGGTGCCATGTGTGATGCACACTTGAACGATCATGTCTCTTTTCAATTCATGACTGACTTTGCAGAATTTCTGCAGTAAGCTGCTGTTACTTTCTGTGGTAGACTGGTTACCAACTGTGGCTTTGGACTCAGTCTGCTCTCCTATTTAATCCATAGCTGGGAGGGAGAAGAGATAGATTCATACTTTTCCCGAGGTTATTTGTTGCAAATGAATGTAACAAACTTGACTGGAATTCTAATTTAGTTCTCTGATTTCTCATCTATCACACCATCTGCACATCCAAGCTTACAGCACCTGGTATTCCTAAGTAGTCGCCCATCTAGGTAGTGATCAGGCTCAGTATTGCTTAACTTCAGTGATTGAACGAAAACCGGTGTTTCAATGTGATATTACCTGTAAGCACAAAGAAATATAGAAATGCTAAAAATAGAAAAGCAATATTTATTTTAAATGTTTTTTCTTTGCAACTAGAATATCCTCATTCTGTAATTGTTACTTTTCATGAGTGTTTTGCTGTTTTATTCATTTTAGTTTTAAAATTTTCTGAAGTTTAGTAACTTTTTATTAGTTTCTTTTAGTTCTTATTACTACACTCTCTTGCTTGAATTATCTTACAATGTAATTTGGTAGAATATTTGATTTGAAGCTGTTGTATTTTTTCAGTTTGTAAAAGAGCTCCAAAACTCATTAAGAACTTTTTGTCTCTTTAATTTCTGTTACATCACTCGTTCATCAACCAGTCCTTTTTCTAATAAATAAATAAATAGTTTATTTCATCACGTGGTAGCACTTTTGGAAATTATAAACTGAATTTATTCCCAAACCATGATGCTGCCTACATTAATACTAATTCAAATTTGAGAGTACTTAACTTAGCCTTTCATGTTAGAGAGAAAAAGAACTTATGGTATCATGTTTCTAAGTTCTCTCTCTCTCTCTCTCCCTAAGTATGATTACTGAAACATAATAATTGCTTCTAACGTTTAAATTGTAGCATTTCATTTCATATGCTAGGCGAATTTATCATTTGTGTAAGTTCCTTAGTTTTCTTGTGTAGACGAAAACTCACATGTAATAATGTTGTTTTTGTGGTAGTTTTTCTTAAAGTACTCTCTTAACCCCAGGCTTGGCTTGCTCTTTCTTTTTTTAAGTTTGGGCTTCTCCACCCCTAGTTATCAGTTCAGTCCTAGCTGCTTCTGTATATCCCCCTCTGGTTGTAATCTGCTCCTCCCTTCCCTTAAACTAACCTCTTTACTACTCCCAGCATCCTGCCTCTTTCATCACTCTGCTGCCAGGCTGTCAGATTGAGGCTGGGAAAACCTGAAGTAGGACCATCTAGCCTATGATCAACTGGTCAACCCCACCCATCCTCCCTTTCTTCTATTACTTTTTACGTATTTTCCCACTGCTCCCTACCCAACTCATTTCTCCAGTCTTCCACTCCCCTACTCTCTCATCCCTAACTCACGCCAGAGTATCAGAGAGGTATTTTTATTTTGACAAGGGAGAGAAAAAATTCAAGGGAATGATACCTGATACTGAATTGCTGCTTTCTTGGTAAAGGGGCATCAAGCGAAGCAAGGAAGTAGAAAGGTAGGGTCGGGTATTGCATGAGGGCAATACTGGCTGGCTCTAACTTCCCTCACAGCTAACTGCTAGTCCCTCTCTCTGCTTTGGATTGTAGTTGATAGAAAGACCAAGGGAGAAGGCTGACAATCTTTTTCCTCTCCTTTACTTCAACGTGTTCTCTCCAGCTTTGCTAGTATTAATATATATGTTTTACTTTTCTAATGTTGGTGTGGAAATGGAGTTCCCAGAGCCCTTTCGAGAACATGAACTGGCAAACTTACATTTTTCTTTGAGGTAGCTTTTGAAAACCCGTGCACTGCACACGTAACAAGTGATTTACTTCGGAATGAATAGTCCTTTCCTTCCTGAACTGTCGGTTGTTTTGCAGTTATATTACCTGGATTTTTAATGGTCTTATTGTGATTACTGCAAACTAAAAATAAAACAACTATTCAATTTAACCTGATCAGATTTATACTTACAAATGAAAACTTCGAGTATTCTGTATTAATGCCCGACACATTTAAACAATTTATATTTTTAGAGAAGCAGAGGTAGAGCTTCTAATTGCCATTTTTCCTTCTGATGAACTATCATTAACTATTGTTTACATCTGATGTCGGATTTACAATAGTGTTGGTCATTTAGTTAGCCGTAATAATACTAACTACATTTTTTGCTTTTGTTCTGTTTGGATACTTTGGATTTTACCATACTGGAGTATTAACTTATCAGTACACCTCAGTTAATGATCGGTAGGTATATGAATATTGAATGAATATGAATACAATACATTTAGTGAATTCTGGAGTATTTTTTATGAACTAGAGTAGAGACCAACAAATCGTAATTTTATAGAGAATTGTAAATTTTCAGTTTGCACCTACACGAAATCGATTTTTAGAAGTTAAAATAAAATACTTTTTGTGCTGTCTGCTAATATTTTTGGACCCAATGCTTTTAACACTCCTTAGTGAAGAAGTAACAATAACTTATTTTAAATCTTAGGGCAAGGTTCTTTTACTTTTCTTGGGATTCAAAATAAATGGCTTTCTTCATCCGTTGTACTTTCTGCTCTTCTCGTTTTTTTCTCTCGTGCCTCTTTCTGTTTTTAATATTATAATTATTTTTCATTTTTTTCCAACAAGTGATCACTTTTTATATTTACTGTGGCTGTTACTAACATTTCTGAATTTAAAAAGTATCGACAAAAATTTAATGATACTTTTCTTATGATTCTGTTTGTCCTCCTTACTAATCGTGAATGTTTGAAGTTAATAATTTACATGTTTTTCTTATTCTGAAAATTACTCCTATGTCGAAACATTGTACTGGTTTTACCCGCCATTTCACTTTAATTTAATTTTTTTTTAGTTGTAATTTTTTTAAACTAAAAAAGATGATTACATGTCTGAAAAATAATTTAACTAGAGATTCTGTATAATTTTTAATCAGAAATTGGAAGGAGTGAAAAAGAAAAGGTACGAACAAGTACACACATTTTTATGTAAAAATTCAATCCATTGTTTGTATTACTTTACTTCACTTACAGTACTTACTTTAAAAGCGGGACTTTTTAAATTTTTTTTTGCATATTCATTGTTCCGAAAATGTTTCTTTTATCAACATGAATAATTGTATTTGCATGTATTTATTTTTAGTTGGTTGATTTTTTTTTAAATTAGTAATTCAGTCGATTAAATTCAACTTCGTTATTTAATAGTGAAAAATGGTTGATAATTTAAAAGTGCACATAGCCATTCAGAAGTTTTGATGGTAGTATTGTTGGTAAATTGTGAAAACATTTTTTTTCTTAAGATTGTTGGGAATACGTAATATTTTATTGTAATTAGTAAGTAATTAATAATACCATTCTACATAAGGTTTTTAGTTTTTTCCATAAGTTTATACAATCAATGAATGATGTTAAAATAAATGAAATGTTTTCTTCTTGGAAAAATCTAACATTATTTTTAAATTGTTGGCTTAATTTATTTTTTTACGCAATATAAGAATTTTAGCTAGAATTTTTTGTGCTATGAAGAATTTCAAAACAAAAAATTTCTAAGAAATTCCTGCAATATTTTCTCGGTTTAGGTTGAAGTACTTTCAAATTCTGTTGCTGTTTTTTTTTTAAGTTACAAAATAAATATTGAAAAATACTGTTCTCATTTTTAAAGGAAAGGTGCCAAACAAAATTCATTATTAACGTTGACATTAAAAATATCCATATACATTGAAAAAACATTGTCATTATTATTTCTGACTTGGGCTGTTCATTTTTTATGAAAGAGTTTCCATTTAACTTATAAAAATCATGCATGTAACCAAAAAATAAATAAATATTCAAGTTTCCTTTTATCAACACTCAACTGGATAGGTTCGTTATAGAAATGAAATGTAAATTTGTTTGGGACTGTAAAAAAACCATTGAAATTCGCGCCGAATTGTTGGGTAAAACGTGCACTGTTTGTTAACTTTTTACTTAGGAATTTATCAAGAATTTAAAACCCGGTCATGTGCTACAAGAATTAACTGCTTTACCAGATAAATAATGAAACTTTCACATTTTTATACACAAGTTTTTAAGTACTTTCCGGTAAAATCCTCCTTTAATTGCTAGTAGAAAGTCATGATTGAAAGCTATTGATTCTTCTTTCTTTTAGTAACTGAATAAGGACGATTTAAACAAAAGATTTTCCTTTTTTAGTTTATATTGTACATTTTTAGCCTATATGCCAGATGTTTACAGGCTAGAATATTTATTATGTAGCATCAGTTAACTAACTTGGATTTTATCTACCGATGTGTAAAAGTAAAATCCAAACGAGATTAAATTAAAAACTGGTGCTACATAAATATTCCGGTTGATTTTTAAAGAAGAGGTAATCGAGTTCAACCAGTGAATATGACTTTCGCTAAATAAATGTCATCAAATGGTTTATTGATAGTTTTTAAAAATGTCAAAATAAATATGGACTTTTAAACAATTGTTTTTTAAAATAAACTAAAAGTTTAAATCGTGTAAAAAATATACTGATTATTGTTTTTCTTTTAATATCAGTAGATTTTAAATTCTAGGAAATTAAATTTAAAAAAAGTTGCACATGATAAATTTTACAAAGTTTAAGAGCTGCTTTTACATTTATTGTATTTTTAATTTACATATTGAAATTAACATAAAAATTCAGATGTTTACTTCAAAGCCAGACCAACAATGAACTTTCTAAAATGAGAAAAACTTAGCCATTACGATTTTACAATCAGTTTTTTTTAATGCTTGCTTACGAGGAGCACTGAAAAGTTTCTTGGCACCTACTCAAACCACTACATAAAATCTAACTAAATGACTAAACAAGAATTTTGAATGGTGGGCGGGCCGAGAAATTTTCAACACTATTTTGTACTTATTTATTTTAATTATTAACAGCAACAACAACAATAATAATCATCCACATGCTACTGGTTAAGAGATTCTTCAATTATTTAATAAACTTAATATCCATATCAATTTGTTGATTGATTTATTCATTTTTATGGCATGGCAGAACCTTAATAACTTATCAATTATTAATATTCAATAATAATAATTTTAATTATTGCTTTGTTGAATTTCAAGCTTCAATCTTTTGAAACTAAGAATATTTTTGTTTTGTACTAAACTAAAAAAAACTCTAATTCTTAAAATTAAAATGTCAATATTTGCTATTTCAAACAGTTTGTCAAGGAACACAATTGTAGAGACTAGTCAAGTGTAGGTAGAGTTGATTTTTTTTTTTTCAAACCATTTTGTATTTTTATTAGCTTTTCTTTTTTT